ATGATATAAAATAAAATAAAGGTATTTATAAATTTACAAATTTCTGGTATTTCGATTTAGCATCATTTCCTATTTCCCACACTACACCCACTCAAAAATAAACAAGCGAAAAATATATTTCTCAAAATTGGTATAAAAATAAATTCAGTGAAAAAAATGGTTTTCACAACATCACATGGCTTCATTATGGCTGAGATTTCTCGTCCTCGCTTTTATAACGTTTCCTATTTCCCACACACCCACTTCAAACTCAACACACTGCTTACCTGAAGAGCACCCTTGAATGTACTAACACTTTGATCACCACAACCAATCGTCAAGCTATTTATAACACTCGCCTTTTACGTCTATGACAATCTAATTACGTTGCTTTCAGGTTTGAAGTAGTAGAGAGAGAGAAAAAAAAATGAATTTTTGTTAATTGATAAGATTAGGGATCAGAAATCGAAGTAGATATCAGTGTTTTCATGAATGTTCATGGAAAGTTTCTCATCTTTTTGACAATCTCGAGTATATTTTCAGTGCCGCGTGTTATTAGCCTTGAAGGGCAAACAGGTGGACTTCAAAAAAAAAATGATAATTTAAGATAGCCAGTGCTGTAAAAGATTATATGAACATACGACTTTAAAATGTAAAATCTTTTAAACACGAGTATTAGCGTTAAAATCTTCAAGAACTTTGAAACTTAAATACATGTCTTAGGGATTTTACCAACATTTTTAATGATGATTTAAGATTATTAGTTTTAAAGAAATTATGAATGAATGAATACGAGTACAAAAATGTTTGAAATACCCTTAGAGAGGATAACGATAAAGCTTATCAAACATAAGCAACTGGGAAAAAAAAAAGACTTTTTAAATTTCAATTTTACCATTCAGGTTTTAAGAAAGGGATAATAATGATAAAAATAATAGTATAGATACTTTAAATGACGAAACATATTTTTTTTTAGATCAACGTTTTCATAACTTAAAATAGCTAGTTTTTGGAATATCAAGAACGTTGACATTCATTGAATTTAAAATCTCGAAGGATGAAGATAAGCGTTATAAACAGAATCTGAAAAAAAAAATCGATTTCTCAAGCATTTATTCGGTTTTTCATCAGGTTCATTAGCATCTATTAATGAATTCAACCAGAGTTTGTTTATTTATCTGTGAAGCGATCTATAGGTGATTCTGTTTCGAAATTAGTTGAATAGAAAGGAAAAGAACAGAAGATAGGGTTGAAGACAATAAGGAAGGAACGAGAAGGGAGTGTCGGGAAGATAATAGAGAAAAAAGATAGAAATATAAGGAGGAAACTTAGGAAGAAAATATAAGACGAATATAAAGAAAAATAGAAAAAAAGAGGAAATAAGAAAATTGAAAAGTGGCAACAAAAATGATACAGGAAAAGGGGGAAAGAGACGCAAACAAAAGAAAAAA